GAATCAAATGCCTCCTACAACTACAAATTCATTTGCAGCAAGTAGCTACCAGTACATCCCTTTGATCACCTCTCATCTAGTCATCCTGCTGAGTCTCCTGTGAAAGGTGTTGCATCCAACCTTCTCACCAAGTTATAGTCTCATGGGTCTTACCAAGTATGAGGTCGTACGTACATCCTACTGTAGTACTTACTGATAGTTTACCTTTCATCACTACCACCAAGGAGTACTTCCTCTGTCCCATATTATAAACATCATTTTGGAACTACTAGCTAGTAGCTCGGCTTTCACAGTCAACGCATCGTTTTTAATGTTTTTCAAACAATACGGTGAATGTAAATATAAATATTGTGTAGTATGATAGAGTAAAATTCCGAATTTTTTATGATCCTTTCATCCTCCAGTATCACAACTACTCTCCCTCACTAAAACGATGCTCAATCTAAGTACTACCTCTACTTACTAACTGTAAGTAGAACTACGTAGTAACAACAATATTACATTGAATATACTCTGTAGTAATAATAGTAGTATACTCTGGATAACCATAAAAGGACTGCCAAATCGAATACATCATCATCCTAAAATGAAACTTTGACCCTGTCCGGTTGATGCTGACGCAACAAGCTCAAAAAACTACCAATGATAGACTGCCATCCCATACTTTTTCGTTTCCAACAACTTGTTCAACCAATTGGTTTCCCCAAATTACACTGATTTACCATCAAGGAATCATCCCCACAAGCATATTCTTGGTATGTATTGAGGTTCTATGTAGCAACAATTGGCCTGTGAGCCAGTTCCCCCCTCGCACCCAAGACAAGGAGGATGTACACCTTCCCTTTATGGAAGGCATGAAGCATCTTTTCTGGGTGTTCAAGCCTCCTTGGCTCATCCTTTCGGTGCCCTCTCTGCCATCTGCAGCTCCATTGCAACAAGCAATGGAAAATTCATCTCCAGAGGACCAAGCTACATCGTACATTGTGTGAGGGCCACTTCAATTTTCTTTCACCTGTACGACGTGGTGAATGAAGGAAATAATGCTCTTACTCACAGTCAATTCTAATTGTAAATTCTTAACAATCGTACCAAGTATACCATTCATCATTCCTACCTAGTAGTAGTAGGTATGGAGATTGGGCATAGCATAAAGTGTATATTGATTACTGGTGCATCATGAACGACAAGAATGACTGCCAAGTCAGCTACACAGTATATCTAAATTGGGCTGTCATATCATATTTCTGGTTCAAGAAAGAGGAGAAAGAAGGGGAAAAGAATGGAAAGGAAAGATATAGACAACATATCAACTCTAGATATTCCATTCTAAATAAAAAGAACAAGTCCCACACACCATGGGAAAAGGAAGTGATTCTATGGCAAAGCTGGTAGAAAAAGTACTAGCATAGTACTAGCATAGTAAGATCAGATATGGATAATCTGGTTGCATGAGATATCAACAATGGCTAATGATGGAGCAGCAGGTCTTGTAGTCGGCTGGTGGACGTTTGTGGACACACTCTCGATCACCTCCTAGCCACGATCAGGCAAAACAACCCCACCTAAATTGGAGAGTGATTACTGGCCTGACAATTGCTTTTCCAATCATTGCTTCATCATTCTGTTGGATTGACAAACAAGATCATCCAACAATGATGGAGCAGAAGGTCTTGTGGTCACTTTTATTTGACAGAATGTTGATGGGATGATTGAGAAAGCAATTGGGATCAGCAATCTCATGTCCTTAAGTACGTGTGTTGCCCTGTCAAGGCTGGAAGGGGTTTTGCCAATGTATATAGAAAGAAGTGAAGAGGTCCAAAAATGATCAAGTGGCAGGTCTTGTGTTCCTCTGGCCAACTTTTTGGTAAGAATTGGTCCCCAGCGGAACATTTTCATAGCATTCCACAACCTCAAGCCCATGTGCTACCTCTCATCCTATTGCCCTCAATTTTCCCCTCTCATGGTGGACAAATCAATATCCCAAGTCCTTTTAACGACCATTTGGGAATCCCAGTTTGTTTGTTGCAGATTCGGAAGACGATGTGCTACTATGCCATACCAAACTCAGTCCAAGCAAGCAGCTACCAATGATGTATGTCCATCTCAAATTTTTTTACATTGCTACAGATTTTTCCCACCCGTCGTGATCTAAGGTTTTCTCATCCAAGTCATTTTCGATTTTGCCCTCCAATGTTGTACAAATTGATATCACAACTCCTGTCCCTATCTCAGTTTGGCTGTTACAGACTATTCAAAAAATGATGTTCTTGTTCTACTAAATCACATCAACATCAGTTCAAGCAGCTATTGTTGATGTATATCCATCTCCAAGTTTCTTTCTTTTGGTATCACTACAGACTACAGAGTACAGAGTCCCCCCCTCGTGTTGGGTTAAGGTTCTCCCATCCAGGTCATTTCGAATTTCCCCTCCCATGTTCAAATGTTTGAATGTTGCTAAACGTGATAAAAGTTGCCTGTGCAAAGGACGGGCTTTGTCCAT